TGTTTTTCTCTGACTGTTAATGATGTCTTAACACTAAATACATTGTATGTTTGATGTGTACTGGTTGATATTTTAGTCTTAGATGCATGATTTTTTAGTTGTTATCTGCTTTGAGCTAGCTGTCAGTAACTGCCAGTACTCTCAGATCTGTACTTAGTGGTTTTTTTGTTGTTGTTAGGGATGAGGGATGGATAAATACCCTGCCACGTCCGGTCTGTGTTTATGTTTGATGTTTTTCTGCTCTGCTTTGTATCGATCTGATGATTTAAGCCTTTTGCAACTGATGTTAATAGTTTATTTTTATGTTGTGCTGTTACACCACTGTCCCAGGTTAGGGGAGGGTTGAACCTCAAAAACATGTTTAATATTTTCAATGTAGGGGCCTTTTATACCGACTATGCGGTATGGGTTTTTCTCATTGTAAAAGGCCGTACGGTTGCCTATAATTACTTACATCCACTTTATTTGAACTTTGGTGGATAGTTGTCTTATTGGAAATCATACTTAATCTCCTTATTTTTATATTTCAAACTAACAGTAGACAATGAAACGTAATAGCTACTGCTAGCTTCGACAATTTTTCTATGTTGTTTACAAGTGTTTGTAGAATATATCAAGCTGTACATAACCCTCTTTTTGTAGATAATCTTTAACTTCATGTTAATTGTACAGCGAATTTGTTCTCAATTAGTTATATAAGTATAGACGGAGCGATTAACCTGTTTCTTATTGTCATAGTTATTTTCATAAAACACACCCTCCCCTTTCTCACCGTTTGCAGTATTTCTCACTTCTATAGAACAAAGATGTACTCAGACCTGCTAATTGAACTCATTATGCGTTAATATTACACTAGTTTTGGAACAAAGTACAATTGTATGTGCTTCCAGACTTACCAAAAGAAAATTGGATATTTACCCAGAAAATCGTTACGAACACCTTCTATCTAAAGACGGAAACAATAAAATTTTGGGAGGGAAACTTATCAATTTTAATATCTAAAACATATTTCTAGATAACAATTGTATCGATTCTTACGTAAAAATTCCAAATTTGGAAATGTTAAAAGGTCAAGTTAACTGTTATTTAAGAGCTGAATGAAAATAGTGAATGTGCCCCTTATAAGTACAAATGTCAATCTTCAGTCCTATTTTGCAACAGAAATATCAAATTAGTCCTGAATATAGAAACTATAGTTATAAGCCTTTAAATCATTTGAATTTATTTTGCTCTAAACGCATATATGTAAAGGGAGAAAGGGGGGGGGGGGGGGGGGGGTAGATAACGACGACATCGATATTTCGATGAGGCTTGTTCTCCTCTTTCCAATGATATAAAATACAGCTGTATGTTATTCCGTTAACCCAAATCGCCCAAATTCGTTGACTGGGCACTCTACTATCAACCTAACCAAAAGGAAGGACAGGATCAACCAAGAATGTGACATCGACAACCACTATAATAAAAACAAAAACACTTCATTTAACAAAGAGAAACACAAATCTATATTCAGAATGTATAGACCATCTCAACTCAGTTCGTGTAAGATCTGTTTGATTCATGCACTTGTGCACTAACTAAATAATCGTATATAGAATCATGAAAAAGTGTTCTAGAAACGGTGAAATCGCTATAAAATAAAAAGTTAAGCTAGATTTTGCTGATATGCAACTTGATTTCTTCAATTTTATAATGATGAATAAATTAATCTCGTGCATTAAATGATACCTCCAAGACAACACTAACTGTTGAGTTACGTACCAACCGTACCTGGTTATAAGCAAATAGGGAAACTCTATTCCGTGGTTGTTGATGGTTGCTGAAAAAACATAAATGTCTAGATTTATTAAAAAAAAAAAAATAATATTTGTTATATAATTATAGTAAATTGCACCGGCAATCTTCGTGCAAATATCAAACCAACTCCTGTTTTCTAATAAACGATAGCAATATCCTTTGCTTTTCTATTCAAACACAATGTCTTCACAATCTTTTGAACCTAGTTTATCTTTACCATTCTTTCTATTTTCTGCATTTGCACAAAATTCGTCTTACACATGTATGAGAGATTTTACCAATAATAAAAATACGAAGAAAGGGTCAAATTATAAAATACGCTCGTAAACTTTTTCAGGAAGATGATGATGATGATGATGATGATGATGATGATGATGATGATGATGATGATGATGATGATGATGATGATGATGATGATGGATAGCTGCTTAACGTCCAGTGGCAAATTAATTTGCATATTTATATACTTGGGACAGGCACTTCAACAAAATGAACGGGTCGAACATGTTTTAGCTCGTAACCAGAGTCAATTTATACTTGAATCTCAATCTCTACTTTAATTGACGGTTTCGATTCACAGCTTCCTCCACCATTTTTTTCAAAATTTGTTAACAAGATGAAGGTGTATTTCTGAACTTTCTACCATATTATAAGCTTCTAAAGGTCTTTTTCAAACTGCATTGATTGATTTGGACGTATTTTGAGGTTTAAAAAACGAACAAGTATTGTTTTGACCTATAACCTTAATTCAATCGGAAAATATTTGTTAATATTGCATTTCAAATACACAAGAAATAAAGTACGGATAAATGTTAATATTAAAATGGTGATTTGAGAAATCTGTCACCATTTATTTATCAATAACTAAAAGAAAATTTTTATCGTGTGTGTAGAATGTTTTAGTTAACAAATAAAGATTTCCTCATCTTGATTGTTCATTTTATGCATCTTCATTAAATGTCAATATGTAAATGAACAATACACAACGGAATCTCTAACACAGATTAACACAGAATCAAAGATAAATATTCGATGTTTAACTTAGGTTTTTTCTGTAGGCCTTGAAGCCTTTACTTAAAGCTACAGGTATAAAATCGAAGGTACCGAATCCTGGGAAAAATTAACAAAACAACACAAACAAAACAGGTGCATAGACAAACAAAGACTGTATATTCGAACAAAAAAATATAAAATAAAAGTAGTTTGACAATATATTCCCTATATAACGCGAAATGAAACACATTTGCTCCGGAAGAGTAGGAATACGACACAAGATCTATTGTCCAGTTGTTATAACTGGTAGCCCGGAAATTCCACGAGAGTGAAATCATTAGAATTTCAAGGATATTGTTATTAAACAATTGTGATCTACCCTATCTTTATGTACATGCATAACTTTCTGTATTGATGAGACCAATTTAGCTGAATGTAATCCTACTTGGGTGTTGACATATGTGTGTTTCTGTTTTCTGTGTACTAAGCAAAAGAAACGTCATTTCCTTATCAGAATATGCAGTGTAACGGTAATAATTGCTTCTTTATATTTTTCCAGAGATGCCATATATGAAGACAGCCTCACAAGTCAAAATGTTTGCAATCTCCTGTTAACTGATCTGTTTGTCGTCTGTTTTTATTTTGTTTACCTTGTGCATAGGATAAATCATAGTTATTATATGAACTGATCACTTGTCTATTTTAGTTTTTCCCCATTACGATGATAACACCCTGTATGATCCGGATTTTTTTGTTGTTGTTGTGATAAATGCATAGCTTACAATCCGCCATACATCCCGTTTAGGTCCATTTAGAGTACATGTCATTTCCCCGTGTTATTTTACTCGGTGTGTTTTTAACTAATTGGATTTAATTCTGAACATCGGAAAACAATTGTATCGTATTTAAGACAAAAACAACATTTTCATTTCATTTTGGACAACAATTTCTTGAACTGATTCCGTCCTTAAAGTCACATGCAAGGACTGTTAAGCTATGGATATTACCCTGTACAATAGTAACGTTGCGAACAATGTTGACAAAGTCCAAAGAAGCTAAGCTACTAGTATCAGATATATTGAACCTGTTTCGGTCAAACGGACTGCTGTCGTCTTATCATTGCTTTAATTCGACGCACTAGGATTTTTTTTAGTAAAATCTGTGATGCCGACCGGACAAACAAGATGACATTCCTACAGCGCTGAGTTTTCCCTTGGACTGAAGAAACATGTGTATAAAATATTAAAATTGGTTACAAAGCACCCAATTTAGGTTTTCTTGTAACTGATCGCAGTAGCAACATCGAAATCTTGAAGTTTTTCAGTGCGGATGTTAAGAGAGAGAGAACATATTAAAGTATAAAAGTATACATTAGGCTCTAGTTATAATCTCCAGCTGAGTGGCAAAACAATTTACCCATTTGGGGTGAGAGTGTTTTCGTGGAATGCCTACATTTATTAAATTTTTATCCTCAAATGCCAATAAAATAACTTAAATAGATGTTTCTTAATTGAATGGGATTGTATTAGCAAACACTTTAATTATTCGGATAATAGTAGTTTTAACATGTTTCTATACCTATAAACGAATAAACCAAAATTTAAATGGAAAACAAACAAATAGATTACATTTCAATGATTGTAATTTTAAGTCAGTTCTGTTGATTAGAATTCAACCAGGGTAATTCATAAAATCAGAAGGAACATTCTGTCGATACTAATTTTAGATAGAAAATCCAATTTTGAAATTTAAGTGATATCCCATGGCCCACTCAGAAATGAGCTTTGTTTTCCTGATGATGTAATAAAAATAGTCTAAGGTACAAACATTAATGTTGAAGTGGAATTTTAAATGACAACATATTTTCTTTAGAAGAAAGACACACCTCAATTCGATAAAACAAAACTTTTCTTTATCACAAACATCCATGAAAATCTTGTCTCTTTATACTCTATAACGATTGATCTGATAGTAAATTCCAAAAAACTAATAACGATAAACTCAAAAATTAAAAAAACCAGACGAACTCAGTAATGAGATCGGAATTAATGACTTCCCTGCTTTTCAATCCGTTTTTTTTTTGCAGAGACAATACAGTAAAACTTGAAAGACTTGTGGATCCGGTTAAATGAAACAAAGATCAATTTTTAATTCAGAGATAGTATAAAATGATTTTAACTTTACAGTTTCATAATATTCTTGAGGTTCTGAAGGTAAACATGAAATTACTGCGATAGTTAATTAAAAAAACAAAAGATTCTAAAGTGTAGGTAAGTCATCAAACTTTTTTTAATTGTATCTTATCATCCATAAAGTCGATAAAAGTGCAAATATCCTGAGTTATTGCGAAAATTCTTGAGAATAACTGATCGTATGCGTGCCACTTTACAATTTCTCTTTTAGGTTTGTAGAGTCCTTCCGAATTATTTTTCCTGTATATTTATACATCATTTCCTTGCAATTTATATAAAACATATTTATGTACCATATCATTATCCAAATTTTGAATTTGATAATGACAATGTAAATTCTATTTTAGTGTTTATCGTCTGGCATTTGCTGGGTTTATTCCAATTATGTGTCGCCATTTTTACTTCAAGTCTTCATATACATAGCTGTATCTTTATCGGCATCTAACAAATATTTCCACACAAACGTGTTTGGGACCGTCTATATCTTGCAGTGTGATGTGAGTTTCTGCAACGTGTTTAAGACTCATTTCGTTTCGAGATTTTTTTCAATCGAGGATGATATCCATTGGTAAAAACGTTCTTGATATGTATCAGTTTTGAATTCCGAAAATAGTTTGATTTTGTCTTGTTCTAGTGAATATAAAATTAAAATAGTTATTGTCAGTCTTAATAGTATTTGAATTTAAACAATCTTAATTTCATGGTAAAAGCTATATGACATCGTAACCTTCTTGGCCTTTATGATAAATATTGTATTGTTTTTGTACTTTCAAATGAAGTTATTATATTATTATTTCAGTTTGCACAAATTTTAAGATTAAGAGATATGAGAAAATCTACTTTGGAATTCTTGCAACTTGCTTAATTTCAATTCTGGCCATCGGTTATAGATAGGGAAGGTTCACCGTAAATTAATTTGGCTATGTTTAAGGTCTCTTTTTGTCATATAGATCTTCACGTGTTTAGGTCTTATACATACCTGTCTGGCGTTCAGATTCTTGGTGTTGATCGTTCCTGAGTGAAATAATCCAGAAAGCGCTTCGAACGCACGGGATTAATAAAGTATTATTTTCATTTTAACCAATAGTGTGTACAAAAATGATTGATTACTTTATTTAAACGAATAAGTAGAAGTTTAAATTATGCATCGTAGATCATTCCGGAATTATTATGTAAGTCAAATAGAAAATTCTAATCATTCCATCAGTATCTATGATTGTTCCAGTGATTTCTAAACTTTACAATTATAACATTATTTGTAAACAACTATTATCCATCTTATAAGGCCACACAAAACAAATAAGACCAAGATAAATAATCATAATAATTACAATCTCATAACACGTCCCCCCTTAAAAAAAGTTTGAGTGTAGCGAGAGCTTTTTAAGAACAGTATACATATAAATATGGTATATATATATGTATGGCTTTCCAAATACCGTTTCGATTCCTAACATCACTGAAGAGACATAAATTGTCGAAATCCGGATATGGTGTACAAAAACCTTTGCACCTTTTGTTTGCGGTATACCACCTTTTCCGCAAGTTTATTGTTTTCTGTTTAGTATTAAATTTATAATTAAGATTCATTTATTACATCGGTGATCCGTTTATTTGGCAATCGCCAATGGCAGTCAGCAGGGTTTAAGAACATTTGTTGTTCGACCTGTTAGTCAAATGCGTTTTGTTAATATATACTTTTTCCACTTGTTTGGTCTTTTGGAAAATGTTGTTTGTGATGTATTTAGACCCCTCTAACAAGAAATTTGTTTTGCATGCACACGTATAAAAATTGCGTTTTTTATCCAACGCAATCATAGGTTTGAACGTTGTTTTCAATTTAGACTTGTTTATATTTTTTTGTTTGGGCTTGCATTATATTTGCCTTCGGGTTTATATGATCCGTTCATCCAATTTTGACTCCTCAAAATTCAAGAGTCTATCCTAAATTGAGGTAAATTGTAAGGCTTTCCAAATACCGTTTCGATTCCTAACATCACTGAAGAGACATTAATTGTCGAAATCGGGATATGGTATACAAAAACCTTTGCACTAATTTGTTTGCGGTATACCATCTTTTCCGCAAGTTTATTGTTTTCTGATTAGTATTAAATTTTTAACTAAAATCCATTTATTACATTGGTGATCCGTTTATTTGGCAATCGCCAATGGCAGTCAGCAGGGTTTAAGAACATTTGTTGTTCGACCTGTTAGTTAAATGCGTTTTGTTAAAATATACTTTTTTCACTTTTTTTGGTCTTTTGGAAAATGTTGTTTGTGCTGTATTTAGACCCCTGTAACAAGAAATTTGTTTTGCATGCACACGTATAAAAATTGCGGTTTTTATCCAACGCAATCGTAGGTTTGAACGTTGTTTTCAATTTAGACTTGTTTATATATATATCCCGTTGAGGGACAAAAATTTGTCCGCATAAAAGTCTAATTCTAACACTGTTGGGTGTAATTTTCAGACTTATATATATATATATATATACAAACAAGTCTAATTTTAAAACAACGTTCAAACCTATGATTGCGTTGATATATATACAAGTCTAAATTAAAAACAACGTTCAAACCTATGATTGCAACATCATGACAAACAACAGTGGTTTTGTTTGGCACATCTGGAAAAAAGATTTTTAAAAGAAAATACTAAAGTTTTCATTTTAATTTTCTCTGCGATCAAAATTTTTCAACTAACTGTTTGCTCCATAGTCTTAGAATTAAACGTGGTTCAATTGTATCTGGTCTGTCATGATCGTTCTCCAATTTAACCATGGCTAAAGTGGCAACTGGTTTGCTCTCACCTTCATTAGTACGCTCAAAATATGGTTTTAACATATTAATGTGACACACTCTATTTTGTTAGCGCCCACCGGGAGTTTTTACAAATAACTCAAATCATTGATTTTACTCTCTATTGTATAAGGAACACAGTATTTAGCCTGTAAAGGATGCCTAGGGTCGGGCAAAAATACAATTACTTTATCACCAGGTTCAAAAACTGTGTCCCTCGTATCTTTATCATACCATATTTTCACCTTATTCTGAACATTTTTTAAATTGCTCTGAGCAATTTGACAAACAGTATACAATTTTCCTTTAAATCTTGATACATAGTCTAGCAGATTAAAGTCACTGTGTTCAGTAAGCCATTTTTCAGTAATCAATTTAAAAGGTCAACTTACAGTATGACCAAAAACAAACTCAAAAACCCTTGTCGAACTGTAAAGACTTAGGAAGTCCTACTAACGTGAATAATTCGATAAGAGCTTTGACAATAGTTGGTGTCTTGATATTCCTTAACAGAATAGTCACAGGAAAGCGAGTGGATGTACACATTTTCTGAGCCATAGGAACCATCAATGTCGCAAAGGAAAGTATCAGAAAGGTCCATATAATCATACTGGTCTTCTTGTAAATCCTCATTCTGTTGTTTTCTTGCCATCGCTCTAGTAACAACACAAGCTGGATACAGTTCAGCATCATCTTCAGATGATTTCACATTCACCACCGGTTTACTGGTAACAATTGGTTCAGCAAGATCATTTCCTAGCAATAATGAAACACCCTAAACCTCGGACAAAGGCAGCACACCTTCTAATAACAAAGTCTGAGAAGGTCCAGTGTCCCGTAAAATCTAAATGGACCGAGGAGTAGTATTATCAACAAAAGAAACAAACCCATCAGACATAAAAGGTTTATAATCCTCCATGTAATCACAAAAACTGGACTTAAAAGCGTGTCTTGCAGGACATTCCAACTTATTGGTATCAAGGGGTGTCGTACAAGCGCTAGCCCAGTAAACAATCCAACGTTGACATTACGTTGTGACAACGTAATACTATCGTTGTGACAACGTAGTAAAATTACGTTGGTACAACGTAATTTTGTGGACTCCAAGGCACGTGCTGACAACTATCCACACAACGTTGGCACAACGTAATTTGTGACGTAATTTATTTCCATCATAAGACGTTGTAACAACGTTGCAACACAACTGTAAATGTCCCTTGTCCTCATTTGATTGATAGGAGCAATATAATTCCATTAAAGAAGTAAACAGGGTCTATATTTTATTCATTTGACCTGTTTTAAGTTGTAAACTTGTCTATGTAGGAAAGAAGGACACAATGTTGATATGTACTCTATTTCCAAACTGTCAGCTGTGTATAATATAGTCCCAAAAGTTTTTGTTTTTTTACCTTTTTGCCAGGTTTCAATGTCAAATGTATACATATCTCGTTTTCCCAAAAACTTTGCATTATGTTTTACATTAAACCTGTAGTTTTGTCCAATTCATGTTTCACACAGTTGTTTAAGGTTAAAGTCTTAGTTTTTAACTTTTGCAATACTGAAGTACAAGATTTACACATTTCCATTTAACAAAAGCAACTTTTCTTTAAAAAGTTTAACACATAATACTATTCGAAAAAGGAGATTTTGCATGATGGCCAATGAGACAACCCTCTATCCTAAAATCAAATATTGATGATGTTAGCAATTAAAGGTAACTGTACAGCCTTCAACATGACATCTTGGTACATGCTGCAACTTCTGAATGTTTAGGGTTTCAGTGTTCTAGAATATAGATTTCACTATGATGGTGGAAATTCTAGAATGTAGAATGTAGATTTCACTTTGACCAAGGAAAACATTTAGTGAGAGGTTTAGCGCTATAAAACCAGGTTCAATCCACCATTTTCTACATTTGAAAATGCCTGTACCAAGTCAGGAATATGACAGTTGTTGTCCATTCGTTTGATGTGTTTTGTCATTTGATTTTGCCATGTGATTAGGGACTTTCCGATTGAATTTTCCTCGGAGTTCAGTATTTTTGTGATTTTACTTTTTGTTAATGAATTATTCAGAAATATAACAAACTACCACATATACCTTAATATTTACTGTAGATTCATTCAGCTGGATTCACTACACAATGACAAGCTAGGAAAAAAGTTTGGAAAAAGGCCCAAAAGCTGACTGTCTAATTTACAAATATATATTCTACACAACTTATACACACTTCTAAAAATATCCCAAATGAAGAAAATACCCGAAATTCAATCAAACTAACTATTGCTTTTTTCCATTGACCAACTGATAGACCTATCCAAAAGTTAAGACTTCTTTTTTCTTAGCTACATGAACCAATAAAAAAATAATAATATGTTTCTGAATTTTTTAAATTTTTATTCCAAATTTTAGTCTTGTGTTGGTTGTATACATGTCATTCCAAATTTTGGTTTTCTGCCCTTTGATCAGCTGGTCTTGTGTTGGTTTCAGTTCTCTGAAAAAAAAAATAATCATAAATTATAAAATACAATAAAAAAAAGTTGATCCCAACTTATGAATTACAGCAGTTCTTAAAAAATATCCTGTGTGTAAACATAATCAATATGTTTTCTATTGCTGGTCGTATAATAAATCTTGCAGATTCATAATTATGTTGTGTTGTAACTGAGATGTTTGTATCTTTGCCAATTATACACATTTTGATAATGTTTGTTAGAAATTTTTAACATAATTTCAACAGTATATAATAATTTATAACTTTTGGTTAACCTTTGTTCTTATTTAAAAAATAAATTTGTTGTTAAATTGAACATGTGTTAATGAAATTATGGCTGTTCCAGAAAATACTATGTCCGCCCCCCAGGGACGGCCCTTTTTTTAACACCCAGCACCGACAGAATTAAATAATAATTAGAACAACACTCCCTTTGCATTTTGGTATTTAAAATACAACCACCCCCACATAAAATTTAAAAAAGAGACTTCCCTGGGGGGACATAGTATTTTCTTGAACAACCAGTAGTTATTCTACAAATAATAATGAATCCAAATTAAAAAAAGAAGTTTGCTTTCTCAAAATTGTCATTTATCAATTAATTAAAGATATTCATAGGATTTTACCTTAATAAATTTAAAATTTACATCAATACAGCAAGACCTTATATCATATGCCAATGAACGCAATCTATAAAATCAACAAATTATAATTTGATGAATAAAATTAATAAAAGAAGAATGTGTCCATGAGCCACAAATGATGTTATTAAAGGACATAACTAAAGAACAGTAAAACAGATGCTCTCCAAATTCAAACTCTGCGTATTATGATAATAAGCATTGTGTATAAATTTCATAACAAGTCGTTCAGGCAAACTAAAGTTAGAGAATAGAAACCAATTTTGAGTTCAATATATGTACGTACAGTACAAGAGTAAAACTATATCACTCAGTGAAGGAGGGCATAAAAAGAGCTGACCAACTGATGTTTGCCTTTTTATAACTAGGTCCAGCTTTTTGAGCTAGCTGGTGCATGCTTAAGTGTTACTGCAATGCATTCCTCAACCTCAGACACATTGGATCTGTGGATTTTTATACAAGACTCTGGAGAAAAAATTATAAATACATTCAATTATCTTCTATATTCTTCCGTCTGTTTACATGCGTGTCAGTCCAACAATTCTTTGGGAGAACTAGGTAAGTGACAAATTAACATGCATTCCAAAATTCATAAGTTTTATGATTGATTATGACATTGTTTCTGATCACATATTTAGTGAGAGTTGATTATAGCTCGTCATTGATAAACATGTAGATTTCATACCATAAATTGAACAGCAAAAAAGACGCCCCTTTATACTGTTTTTTTAACACCAGTAAACTGGGTTTTACCCTGAAAACAGGAAAATTTTAACCAATTTTTCCCGACTGGATCCTAGTCTAAATAATCATGAAGGCTATTTTAATTTTTTTCTGTGACGCCTTCTTACGACGACCTAGTCCCAAATAATTATGACGTCTTGGAAGGCTATCTTAATTTTTTTTTCTGTGACGCCTATCTACGATCGTCTTTATTGGCACAATTGTCTATTCCCATGTCAGACCCAGTGACACATTGTTTGATTGTTGGTTGCTAAACGTCCAGTGGCAAATATTTCATGCATGTTCAGGATGACCCCCAGTGATACATGTAGTATTATCATTAATAGGCCGAGTTTGTAATATGCCAAGTTTGTAATGTGCCGAGTTTGTAATCGGCAGAGTTTGTAATGGGCCGAGTTTGTAATTTCCCAGATGTCTAGCTTCACATTTGTGATATTGATCAGACTTTTATTGTTCCCCAACATTATCAAAAAAAAAAACAGTGCAAAAGACACTTGCAGCCTTAATATAAAGGGATGGTAGTTCTTGTCATGGATAGAAAACAAGTGCCTGTGGCTGTGCACCCTAGTTAATTGCATATATCTTAAAAAACAACACAAGTAAATCGAGCAATTTGAAAAATGGATTCAAATAACACAAATTTTGGCTAAAATATCTTGTATCAGTGCAATATATTGACAGTAAAGAAGAAGTATCATATTTCAACACGGTCACGGACAACAGACTTGAAAGAGGCGCCCAACACGGCAACAGATGTTTTATTTTCTTCAATTATTCTTGTTTTTATCATGGAGAACCTTTTTGGCGTAATGTGCAATTATTATATTACCTTTTTCTTTGTTCTGGAATCTGAATCGAGCTAAATTTCATTGCAAGTTTTATCACTGTTTTTAAAAATCAAGCGTTGAAAGTGCGCATGCTTAGACTTTTCATAGTATGCAGCGGTAAAACCCGAATACTGCTGAACGTTCCACTATTAATAGCCTGGCATCCTGACCCAATCTAATACTTCGTCGATAAGTCAAGCAGTTGGCCAGGATCCCAGGCTACACTATTATAACCAATCGTAAAAAAACTATTATGAAATTAAAATAATAAATGATGACCAAACTTTAATTATATATTAAACAATAAATATTCATATAAAATATATATATAAGAACATTAAAATTGGATTTGTAATATTTTCTTGGACATTTTGGTGCAAATTATGTCTGTGCGGGAAAAAAGGGGATATTTTGAAAATAGAAAAAATCGTGAATATATTCTAGTGAAGGTGAATGATACATCCAGGAAGACTCATACCCACAAAATTCGTCCCATAAAACCAGATTTAAATGTGTCACTGGTATTCACAGGGTTTGTTCACTACGTTATAATGTTGATACGACGTAACAAAATGTTTCGTCGGATTATGACAGTTATAAGCACGTTGTCACAACGTAATAAAATGTTACGTCCTGACAGGGTACTAAATTTACGTAAATTCGACGTAATTTTATAACGTCGTCTGTACGTCTGCATCCAAAGTTGGGTTTTTTACGTTCCCACAACGTTGGTACGACGTAAACTCAAGACATGACGTTCAGACGACCATTAACCGACGTCGGGAGTACGTCGTGTGTTTGCTGGGTAGACTTGGGTTTATTATCTCTTTCATTCTTCTACTGGAGTCTAAAATAATTAGCCATCAGGTGACCATTTTTCTTACAATAAGCACAAGTCAGTGACCTCTTCTCAAAAGGATAAAATTTTGGACTAGACATATTATTACTGGACTGACTCTTATTTTGTGCAACATGCTTACTATCAGTTCGCTCAGTACTTTGACATTTGTAATTTCCGCTCGAAGTATTAAAAATTTTACCTTTGAAACTTCTTTTATGTGAAAGGGTAATTATCGGAAATAACAGCTGCATCTTGTATTGTCTCAACAGTTTTGTCATCTAAATGTGTTTTTTCAGTCTAAATGAACACACTGCTTGAACTCTTCTAATAACATCAATTGTCTTATATTATCAAAATTGTTATCTATTTTCTTTGACGTAAGCCATTTATCAAAGAGATCTCCCTTTTCCCAAGTAAATTCAACATAGATTTGTGAATTAAACTTTTTATAAGACCAAAATTTCTGTCTATATGATTCTGGCACTAACTCATAAGCTTTCAAAACTTCCTGTTTTACAGTGTCATAATCAGAACTTTTTTCTGTCGAAAGTAAATTTCAGCGGCCTTGCCCTCTAAAACACTTTGCAGCATTGTAGTCCAATAAGGCTTTGGCCATTTCAAATTTTTAGCAATTTTCTCTTATTGTGGATATATCTTTCAACTGTTTTTGCACAAAATCTGGGAACCAGACGTATATGTTATGCTGCATCAAAATGTTCTGATTTTGACTGTACATTACTGTTGCTTTCTTCTTCAACTTAACTGTTATAAATATATGTCCGAGCCTTTGTCTTTTCTTTATCAGAAATTCTCCTCTTAACTGTACGGAATCCAATTAAATATATATATCCAATACGTTCACAATCAAGTGTGATGTTGTTCGTAAATAAAAGTGGCAATCCAACAACTCCAGAGATCTCCTGAGAATACAAGTATAATAATGTCTGTCTGTAAGTATAACTTTGGTGTGTGTATAAATATAGTACTCACGGAAACTTCTATAACACTTTAGAAGGAAAACTCCTAGAAAACTGTAGAAAAATGTAGAAGGGAAACTTTTAGAATATTGTAGAAGTTTAAATTATGCATCGTAGATCATTCCGGAATTATTATGTTAGTCAAATAGAAAGTATCATTCCATCAGTATCTATGATTGTTCCAGTGATTTCTAAACTATACAATTATGACATTATTTTGTAAACAACTATAACCCATCGTATAAGGCCACAAACACATAAAATAAGACCAAGACAAATAATCATAATAATTACAATCGCATAACACATACCACATCTCTTTATTTCTATGTGTCCACACACAGTTTTATAAACATTTGTAAAAAAAAATGCATTCTTCGTGAAAATTAAACATATAATTGAACCTTTGCTGTATGTCTAATAGCCGTAAAATTTTGCTATACGATCTGTTATTTACCTAGTGGTATTTTAATTTGGAATGATACGTATAGGCTGTAAAACTTACATAACGTAACATTTACATTAGCTCAACATCTTGGAACAATTAGTATCAACAGGTTGGTATACTTCTTTAATGAGTAAAATCTGGGGTTTTAATTACATCTGGTTAATAGCAATAAAACCTTCTGATCAAACTTATCTAACTTAACAAGAGTATGACGCAATGGCACATCTCTTAGAATACTTAATTATTCATTTTAATCTTTAGGCTACTAACTGCGGTCTTTTAACCAAGTTGTCAAAACACAGTATAATGGAAGGTGTACAACTAATAATTGCTGTTGGAGGTAAGATTGCTATTCTATCTTTATACGAAATTTTGGACGGAACAAAAATTGAAAACAACACGTTTAATAATTTCATGCGTCCGAAGCGCTTTTCTGGATTTACCTTCATCAGGAACGTTCAAAGCCAAACACTTGAAATCCGAGGGATGTATAAGTACCAGTTGAAGAGCTATATAACAAAAGTGAGACATCATTGTTTAGTTTGGGGTTGAGGATGGCAAGAAGCGGAGGTATTTGGAAAACATTATATAACTTTTAAGACAGAAAAAAAGCGACGGAACATCGTGTTTAATTTGGATTGGGGAAACCAAACAAATCACTGAGGGATAACAATATATAACTTTAATATGGAACAGAATTAGCCTAACATCACTTTTAGCATTGAATAGTGAAGTGCGAGAAAGCTTAGGGACATGGAAAATTATTATTTAACAGAAGCAGCGGAGCATTGTTTTGAGTTTGGGTTTAAGGAGGACATGACAACAAAGACGGAGTGACATAGGAAAACTTATTCCAATTTATTAACTATATAATAGTACCGGTAGGTTTAAGGATTGCCTTAATTTTATAGCTGTTTATACTAATATGCAGACTTTACTGGCTTTCGAAGCAATTTGAATGTAAAATTGAGAATTGGGGGAGAAGCCAAACACATATCCTGGCTCACTCTTGTTCTACCTTTTACGATAATATTATGCAATTCAAACATTAAGATAAGACATCAGTCAAATCAATGATGATTATTCTTAGACGTTTGACATTTAAGAGGCAGACCGCCATTTAGCCCACTCCAATTGAGAACATATGTAAAAATAGCCCTTTTCTGCCAAAAAATAGTGCTTTTGGTGTCATTGTTTACTAAACTAACAAACAAATTTGGAGAAATGAAACTTTTGGTGAAAGAAGAGAAATATATGTAAACCATTTTGAGTCCTAATCTACTTATGATTTTGTATTAAATAATGTGGATTTATGCGCTCTATAGTATACTTATTTAAGATGTCCTGAAACCAAGGGTTATTTTTAGTTGCAGTTGACTTCCGAACGGTCGGGTTTCATATCAAGACTTTAAACATGAAAATTAGAATAAAGAAGGGTTATTCATGTATAATTCAGATTATACCTGGTTTCTATGAAGTTAAACTTTATAAGGTAAAATGTTTAGAAAGCTGTGAAAATTGAAAAAATGGTTGATTATATAGGGATTTTGAGGTGGTGGTCTGACAACTTTACGCCAACATTTTATTTGTTTCATATCTTAGATTATATTGAACTCAGATAACTTTTTGAATAATGCAGAATAATAACAAATCTGGATTTGTGTAAGCTTGTTATCATAACACAAATAACCGTTTATTATTTAACATTTCCAGATAGATAGTGGAATTTCTCCTTATGTAAATACTTAGATATTCACTGTATGCTTTTGTTTTATTTTACTTGATTCAAACTAGAAGCAATACGACTTTGCCGCATAATAGATACAGTATTCTTACCTGTTTGCCTTGAAGTTTCCTGATATATCTAGTAGCGGTTGCGTAAATTTGTATTGTCCAATCTTTTTTTGTTTTCGCGGTGCACCTTGTGTCATCTCTGTTTATTAAAAAAAACCTTAGATAGTTCAGATTTTTGCACTAACATATATCCATTGGTACGTATGTAGAACTGTATAAAGCAACATAAAAACAAATAAGATTAAAAATAAAACTCACCATAAATACCAGGATTTAAATTTTGTACCTACGCCAGACGCGCGTTTCGTAAACGCACTTGCAACTAAATGATAAATATACATAAGTTATTTTATTTTTTTACATTAACTTTCTAGTGATAAGTACAGCACATATTGTCTTTGCAAGCTCCCCAAATCGTCTGTGGCCACTTGACAACAGTACATATACAACCGAAGTTCAGGCACCCTCGACAGACCCTGTAGATACTGGTCAGTGTGGACGAATATTTGGAGGTCAACCCCCAGATTATCCTAACCCAGTTGTCGAACTTGATGGACTGACTCCTGTTGACTTGGTAGTTGATGCGACTGTTGATTCCGACAAAGATTATTCATTTTCGATGATGGTGAGACCAACCGTTGACACTGGAGCATTGTTGCACTATAAACCAAACGATTCAACACAGCAATTAAGAGAACTTGCTTTATATATCTCTGGAGGATATATTCACATGGAAAGAATTCTTAATACCAAATCTGAAATATCACCACCATCAACACAGCAGATTCCACCAAATGCTTGGCATTTTATAACTTTCGGAATAGACATAAGCAATGGTAAAATGATCATCAATTTCAATGGAGAAAAAATAGAACATAATAACAATTATCTTGACAATGTTGACTTTGTTATTCCTGGCATTTTGCGTGTTGGTGGTATGTTTGATCAACAAAAACCTAATTTACAAGGCAGAGTTGCATGTGTTGGATTTTACAGTAATGTAAAAAAACCATCGCAAAGTGATTCAGAACCATCTTGCAAGGCTGGGAGTTGGGTAAATAGTAAGTTTTATAGTGTCTTAAAAATTATGACTTTTAAGATAAATTTTGTAGCGTCTACTATTTATGTTATTCCCACAGATTGATTAATGAGGTGAGATGGTAAAATATTTCTAGTTCCAATATCGTCAATGGTACATCATAAATATTTTACAATTGACAAAAAACACCACTTTAGCTCGTTTCTTTTAAATCTCATATTAGCATCATCCTTTAAAAAAAATATATATATAAGTCACCCAAATATCTTTGTATAGAACAACCTGTAACATAGAAAAAATCGTGGATTACAGGATGATACAATATTAGTAGTCTTTAAGAAGTTTGAAGACCAAAAATAAAAAAAAAGTAATAGACTATTCAAATATCAAACAACTGTCATACAAGTGGGAGGTTTAGATAACCATAAAACCAGGTTTAACCCACCATTTCTTCGGAAAATGCCTGTACAAAACCAGGTTTATGATTGTTGTTTTCCATTCGTTCCAATGGTTGATAACGTTTGATTTTGACTGTTTTTATGGACTTCCCCTTTTTGAATTCACCTTAGGGTTTGGTTTTTTGGTTTAATATTTTTTATATTTTTATCATATTATTGACTTTTGACAGACCAGTGTCACGCAAATGTCTAATTGATGTTATTTGGAATATTTGTAATAGTTGTGAAATTCAAGGGACCAGGAAGTGACCTTGTTATACCTGTTTCTCTATTAGGTACTTTGTTGTAGAAAAACTTAGTCTTGAATAAAACTGACTGAAATCAATTAAACGTTGCAAAATACTTAGTCTAGTCCTAAGACTACATTTCAATCTGACTAGAAAGAAACATTACTTTACATTATACATTTATTTCCCATAGGAATAAAGTAAGCAAGATTCTTTGAATCGTTTTTATGAACCATGTTCTAAGGTATTCGCAAAATCTCCTCAAAATCTCACAAAAAGAACTACAAAAGATCTTTTAACAGTGTATGCTTTTGTTTCAATTCAGACATTCCCGACTGTTCAACACCACTGGCAGTACAAAGAACTGAAACAGAAGCTGGTTATTTTATGATGGAAACAAATATTCAACTCAGTACTTTAAATATGATATCAACAAATCCGAAATGTACCAAGCTTCGTTGCGCTGTATCATGTCTGAGACACCAAAGCTGCTGGTATTATAGGTACGCGCCATCAGCGTCAGGATGTTCACAGTGTACACTGTATGATAGTAGTATAACTTCTTGGAAGGGAACAGGTGCAGGAGACAATTACTTGTTTAAATGGAAATAGAAATAATACATGGTTTTACACCAAACTAAATGCATATGTTACAAGCCTTAAATGTTATTGTTTTTAAGACCGAAGCTACATTTTCTCATATTTTTCTGTTTATATCTGAAAATGGTTAAAATGGAAGACAAAAAAGACCTTCATAATGGCGAGATATCTGACATTTTTTTCGCTACAGTGACAATGCTGTATCGATAAGACGACTACAATTATGAGAGTCATTCCTAAAGAACGAAATCTTTTCAAATTGTTCATAGCCAGTCAGTCTTAATTTAAGTAACTGAAATATGCTATATTTTTTGACAAGGTCTTAACAGCAAGCATAAACATTTTATTCCACTTAATTTGGACAACGCACTTTTAAATTAGATTTTGATATTTTTTTAAGCTGATGTTCGTTGATGTGTCGGATGTTAATAAAACAATTTCAGTATTGTATACAAAAAGCTGCCACCATCAGTTCAAGATTTGATTGTCGTAAATAAAGATTCACCATGGAAGACCTAAAATACAACTCTACAACTCTATTATTTTAAACATTTTTTACATCCATTTTTTATGGTAATATTCTATACAAAGCACAAAAAATTTCGTCATTCACCTTAAAAGCTAACCAAACCTTTAAACAGACTTATTTAGAAAGGATATAGTTACGATACTGTTGTCAGGTCATCAAAGATGGCATATTTTGGAATTAATATTGATTCGCTCATAGGATTTTGCATCGGAAATAAACACATTTATTCTAAAGCCAGTTGTTGGCATGAAACGGGTTATGTTATTCTCATATATTTTATAATGGTATGATACTAAACCCCTAACAGGAGGGATTGTGCTTGATTTTCATATGATGAAGACATGATCTTTCAATCAGTTTAATTGAAGTCTGAACTCGCATGACAGTAACTGCTAGTAGTCCTTTGTTAATTTATGTACCATTGTCATTTTGCTTAGTTTATTCTGTTACCTATTCTGACCTCGGACTCGGACTTCTTTTGAGCTGGATTTTACTGTGCGTATTGCCGTGTGTTCGATTATTCTTCATTGGCTAGGGGTATAGGGGAGGGTTGAGATCTCACAAAACATGTTTAATACCGCCGCATTTTTGCGCCTGTCTCAAGTCAGAAGCCTCTGGCCTTTGTTAGTCTTGTATGCTTTTTTTATATTTAGTTCATTTCTATGTTTTGGGATTTAGCGTGACGTCTATTTTCACTAAATTCGGGTGCGCGATTTTCCCGATGTTTTCAAGACCCATTGGTGGCCTTGGGCTGTTTTCTGCTCTTTGGTCGGGATGTTGTCTCTTTGACACATTCCTCATTTCCATTCTCAATTTTATTCATTGTCTAAGACTATTACAAAAGGATCAGACACAGGTTTTGCAACTTAGAAAGTCTTCCCCATCTTAAATGCATTGCAAATGTTGCATTAAGAAAATATCAATTTATTGATCTTAAAAAGGTATAACTTAAAAATGAATTCTGATTCCACGAAATATATTTTAACACCTCATTAAAACAGAAGTAAATGAAATTCAGTACAATGATTTATAAAATGATTCAGTAACGACATGTCAACTGTGGATCTGACGGCATCATTAACCAATTAACATGATAAAAGCAAGTTTATTGCGTTAAAATTAATTGTTATATATGTACACGGTTACAATTAAAATCAGTCAAGTGATCAGTCTTGCTCAAAGTATACTTACCTCGACACGATTAATGGATTATATAATTGAAAAGGAATATATGTTGTTCATACTTATGTATGTGAGAAAAGAGGGCGTACCGCAAAAAACATTGGGTTGTTTAGACTGCAAATCTTCAAAATTAAGCATGTTTGATACTGTTAAGTTTTGAGTTTTAACTAATGTCCTTCTACCCTTGCTGTTACAGAAGACATTAAGATTGTGCCAGATCGAGAGGTTATGAAAGGACTGCAATACAATATCATATATGTATCGTCCACCATTGAAATTAACTTGTATATGTATGTCGTTCAGTCATTATCGACTCCTATTCTTCTTACTTTAAATCTTTATGCAGAAATGAAATATCTGATAAAATTCATTTGGTTCTTTCTTGTAAAAGTATGAGACTGTGTAGAAGCATATTATTCAGAGTAGAAAAAAACAATATCGTTTGTTTTAAGTTGATTTTATTCTAGATGGAATTTGTTCGTTCCAGTTATAGATATTTCCAATGGACATAACGCCCTTTGAAATGTTCGATCAACACTGGATTTGAAATAAATCAACAAAATCTGATCTAAAATTCTCATTAAACGAATTTCAATAGTAATACAATAAATACTGAGTACATACTTTTGTTTGATTTATTCATTGTTGGGTTTTCTCGGTTGGTTACTTGCATTTTTTGTTTTGTTAAAAATTGCAGTAAAATCCATTTAGATAAAAAAATTAGAAATATTGCAGCATATATAAAGAAATGGTGTGACGTATATTCGCCCATGAGACAACTATGAAACACAGTCCAAATAACGTGGATTAAAGACCTTCAATTATAGGTCACTGTACAGTTTTCAACAATGCCGGAAACATATAACCTATAGTCAGCTATAAGAGGCCCCGACATGACAAAATGTGAAACAATTCAAACAATAAAAACCAACGGTCTGATTTATAACAACACAATAAACTAAAAACAAATGTAACAGAGGCAAACAACGACAACCACTGAATTGCAGGCTCCTGTCTTGAGACATGCACACAATGAATGTGGCGGGTTTAAACATGTTTGTGAGCGCCCAACCCTCACGCAAATATGTGACAATGTAGTAACAGTACAACACATGTATATCAAATACATCGAATTAATTAATCTACTAATTTAAAAATCACTTTTAATGTTTGTTTGTTGATGAATTAATGGGTTTTAAATATGTTTGTTTTACTGCCATTTTAGTAAAATACGGAAACTTTAAAAGTTTGTAAACATTTACATAAAATTCAACTATTAATTGCCTTTATTTTCTAGACATTTTATTCATTTGAAACATTACCTTAATAACAACGATATAAATTATGGCTAAAACACTAGTTACATGATTAACATACCAGGTCAGACTGGCAAAAATTGGCAAAATTAATATTGATCTTTTTCGTTTTTCGTAGGCATCGACATGTTACTTCAACGCTGTCGTGATGGTAGTTTGAAAAACAGGAACAAGTATAATATTATAGGGGCACAATTGGTGCCAGTGTGAATACGTGCAATCTGTATATAGTTTTTATTGTCGAAACTTAAATAGATTTTGTCCAGGAGAAAGTCCATTTGTGAGTAAATCAGCTGAGTTTACACACCAAACAGTATTTGTTTTCAAGATAAATTCATGGAATAAAAATACTTATATATCGATGTAAATGCATCAGGAATTACTTATTCATATAAATACACACAAATTCTCGACGCACTAACTTTTTAATGATGATAAGGAATTTTCTGATATTAAAATCCTTTACAGCTTGTGAAAAAACCCTTCTTGGAACTGATTTTGAAGACTATGACTGACATTTGTAAGTCAAATATAAATACAACTATGTATACTAGTCGTTAGTGTCATGTGACAGTTTGGTCCACTCCAATAATTCGTTTTATTCCATGATACTTGTGCTATTTTGATATTTCATAATATATATTGGTAATTATTTGAGAAATGGATGCACTTTAAATTGAAACTTGATCTTAATAGCTCAATGATTTTGACAGACCCGTACAATACTGGGTAAATTATGCTTTAGACATCATAGTAATCATTCTATGCTTTTATTTCTATTTGATGAGTGGAACATTATTGCGATAGAATAATTATTGTATATAAAATAATACCAATTGATAAAAATCCTATATTAATTGCTTCTATTAATTTAATTAGATTAGGATTATTTTTTCTTTTCTGTTTCAATATAGCTTAAAATATAAATGCATTTAAATGAAAAAAATTCAATTTTAATATTATTGTCAACATTTCAAAGTTATCAAATGTGATACCAAGAGAATTAGAAAAGGAAAATTCTGTCAAATCTAATTTACAGTGAATACAATGACGTGCAAATCTTTATAGTGAAATAAAGGGTACAAGTAATCTCGGTTCAAAGACAAGCTCGAACCGTGTACAAAAAGAGCTAAGCTCTTCAATAGTATACTAAAGACTCATCATAAGTTAAAAAGGCCAAATAAATTACGAAGTTGAAGAGCATTGAAGACCCAAACCTCCAAAAGGTTTTGCAAAATACAGCCATGGTAATCCAATCATGGGATAAAATATCCTTAGTATTTCGAAAAATTCAATGGATAAATATGACCATATCAATGATAGTTTATGTCAACACAGACGTGCTGACTACTGTGTACTGTAGGACCTCGTCAATGGTTGCCTATTTTACTACATTGTAAATCGTATATCGGGAAATGTTTGCTATGTCCGAGGTAGGCATTTTATACCGCACAATTGACTCTACACGACATGTAACTGTCCATTTAAATGCATTTTACAAGGCATAGAAACGAGAACAATGCCCGAAAATACCACGATGTTATATTATCTAAAGAATTTGGTATTGGTAATTGATGTTTGATAGTCTGTTAAATTCATTCAATTATTTTCAAATATACCATCAAGACGATTTAAACATGACACATTACAAATATCTATTTATAAATTGTTTAAGACAGTATTACTTTATTTAGCAAATTGATATTCGTTTAAACAATTGACGTAGCATTGCAGAAATATATGCAGAAAACTGATATCTGCTAGCAATTTTCATCCTAAGGCAACAAGTTCCGAGAAAATTGCTCAACTTGAACTTTCATGGTGTTTTCATTTCCACAGCGACAACCAAAATGAAAGAATGAACACAGTTCCGATTTGTTTAAATCACAAAATTTTCCTCTCTTTATTTATTGTGGCGGTCATGATTAATGCTTTCTGATAATTGAAAAAAAGTATAAACGGGGTACACAAATGATATATTATTTCCAAGAGTTTTATTTACATGAGTTTGTTGGATATTTTGAAATAGCAGAAACGTTACTAGTTTTTCTGCATAAGATGAGCATTTCGACAATTAATGTATTAACAGTGATGATCGAGGCCAAAATAAAAGTTTCTTTTCTAGTTAGTTTTTGATGATAAAATTGTTCAAAGTTATTATTTCCCATCGGCATTTGGTTGAAAGGTGATGATGCCGTTGCAAAGGGTTCTTAATAGAAACTTATATAGGTATTATAGGATACTTAGCAATCTTAACTCGTGTATAGCCAACATTATGATTGAAAAAAGGACAACAGTTAAGAACAACACACATGTAACAAGTAAAAGTCAATGCTATATAATCCTTCGGGACTGAACATCACTGAAGGAAAACATTTTTTTTTATTTCAAGGGTTCAAAATAATTGTATGCTTGGAGGGATGAACAAACCAGGTTTTCTCATTGTTGAAGGCCGTACGGTTGCCGATAATTACTTACATCCACTTCATTTGAACTTTGGTGGATAGTTGTCTCATTTGCAATCATACCACATCATTTTCATACTGTACAGTTATTGGTAATTTGTTACCTTTATAAATGTGTTACAATTCATAGATGGATACCATACTGAAGCCAACTTTTTCAAAATCTATTTTTTGTATCAGTAGCTTAGACCTGTGATCTGTGGATCCGAAAATGAAGACATTTCTTCCCATTCCCTACATCTTCTATCTGTATACGTGTCATTCTATTGAGAAAGGGAAGCTCAAGCTTCCAACGAAAATCATTTTTAGAAACAGTGACCTTTGACCTTTTGACATCAAAATATACATTATATGCTATGTTCCCTTTCATATATAATTTTTTCATAGATACCAGAATTAAAATTTTGTACGCATTTGTAAGTGTCATTCGAATAAAAAAAGATCAAATAAAAAACGAAATCTATGGAAAGCCACAGTGAACCCCCCGATCATTATTATTTTTCCCTTAGAAATACATGGATTTAAATAAATCTTCGGCTTTTAGAATCCCGCCTATTATTATCAATTCTATAATCTTCGGCTTTTAAAAATAAAGACCCCGCCGATTATTTTCAATGTCAAAATCTTTGGCTTTTAAAAATTCACCGGCGATTATTTTCAATGTCGAAATCTTCGGCTTTTAAAAATTCACCGCCGATTATTATATTATAAAATCTTCGGCTTTTAATCAAAT